TACTGAAAAATTCTTGGAATTTTAGATAGTGCCACCTTCTTGCTGATCATGTTCTCCTGATACTTTCTCAGTTTTTGGGATTCTCAATTTTCGCGATTTGAAGTTTCCAATTCTCGGAAGACCAATTCTTAGAAATGCTGAAAAATGTTGGTTTGCCGCGTGTTGCTTTCGCAACGTGTTGGTTTGCCGCGTGTGTACAAAAATCCTGTGATTGGTTATAATAAAAACATGTCGGATGCGCAGTACGGATCGGCGCGAACGTGAAACAAAAGAGCGAGTGCCCATACTGGTTATACTGTGGTTGGAGTACTTGGAGTGGACAGTTACGACAGTAAACTGAGTAAACTCGCGGTCGCGACTCCGAGGAGGGATTCCGGAATGGAAAACGGAATCCAGAATAGAGGAACGACACGATTCCAACGATCGTAAACTAGAAAACCTTTTATCGAGTTTGTTTTCCGAGACGGCGCGGCGCATTGGAATCTCCCAAGCTATCGAGCACGAATGTAGTATCACTAACGAGAATGCGACGTACTATAACGCGGTGCGTGTAAAACGTTGCAAAATGGAAAGAATGCTCGAGGACCGTCTGAGGGAGAGGGTTTGCGTCGGCGACACGGACGGCGTGAAAGATCTCTTGAATCTAGGCGTCGACGTTAACGCGCGAGATCCCGACAGCGGATGGTACTTATCACTCCAGCTTTGTTTTCATATCTTCCCAGGGAGGCAGGGCTCGCACAAAAATACACCCCTTTCACCTACATTTATTTATTCCTTTTCAATCCTGTATGGAGCTTATACTCGCTTGAAATATTAATCAAATAGAGCAACTCACGTTCTACCGCATGAGAAATTGCACTCTCATGCAGAAGTAACAAATTAGATTTAGCAAAACTCCGCAATACTGTATTGTTCACTCTTGTTCGTTCATTCGTGCGTCTCAAGGACTGCTCTACATTGGGCGTGCAAAGAGGGATACTTGGACATGGTTGCTCTACTCCTGAAAAGTGGCGCCGACGAAACTCTGCGATCTGAAATAGGCGAAACCCCAGGGTCTGTCTGCAGCAACCAACAGATCTTGTATCTTCTAAACACAAACGATGATCTTGAGCGGATCATGTACGATTCGTCGTTACGCGCGGTCACATCCGCGTACGCTCCGCCAGATTTTCTGCGAGCCCCTGCAAACCCTTCAAAAGTCCGAAATAACGTGCACGACAAGACGTGTGCGTGCAGACCCGTCGCGTCGCTTCAAGACGGTTCGATATACTGATGCAATTTCTTTAGTTACACGATAATTATCTGCAATTTTAAACGATACAATATTTGAGATCTTGAAGCTACATAATGATTTATTATGGCGCACCGCAATATATAATTGTATTCTAATGATGTATTTTTAGAATTGGTATTAAAAATCCGGGTTGCCAATACAGCGGATCCAGATTTCATAGAGGTGGAATTGGCGCGAAGCGAGCTGACATATCAGGCTCTGTTGTGTCTGTGCTGCAAGGAGCTGGCTCTCAATTTGCATCAAATTCAGAAGCTGCGAAAACTACCGAACACCAGATTGAGAAGAGACAAGGACATTCAGAGACTTCAAAACTTGCAAGAGATCGAGGTGGTCGTAGACGCGACGAACGTGTACAAGAGCATGCAGAATGCTAACGGTGTCGCCAACAGCTTGCCAACGTTGCCGGCTAATGGATATCAGAGTATATCTAAGAAGGATCAGACCATTTTGTATTGATCATCCGCATTGAGAAGGCAAACCTTAATCACAGTTTCAAATATTTACACACAATCTAGTAGATTAATAAAACAGAAATTATTTGTTAAGCAAAAAATTGCCTTTATTTGTCAGATAACGGTACCCAAGAAATAATATCCTGTTCAAAAGGTAATCAAGTAAAAAAAAGGCTGAAAATTGAAGGACCGTGAAAACTCTGCTACTACTTTGAAATTTAGGAAAAAATAATCACAAATACTTTTGAAATATATATTAATTTAATATTTTATATCGAAAAAACAGTGATCTCCCTCGTTCGCATTACGAATGTGACGAAAACGTAATACATCACCAGACACTGTGTCTCGCGTCAAGCGTAGCTAGAACCGCGCGCGAGATTTAATTTACGTGAACTCTTGTTACTTTGAAAGCTTGTAAAAAAGTAATCACGAATACTTTTGAAATATACAATAGTGTGTAAATTTAATTTTCATTCAATTAATATTAATGAAATCAATATGAAATTTATATTATACAATATTATGTATTTAAAGTTTTTGCACGATCACTTTTCTTACTAGATTTCAAGGTAATAGTTTTCGCGTTCTTTAAATTTTTAGCTGTTTTCTTTGTGACTTTCTTATCATGTTTTTTGATAATTACTGTGCCTTCGGGTTTAACTGTGACCGTAGCGTCGTATGATAATGTCGAAAGCTCTCCCTCCACATCGCGGTAAGCTTTCGGTCTCTTCGGCTGTATCTTGATTTTACGTTGATCGACCGTGTTTTTATCCTCTGAAATTCACAAAACTTGTTTAAAGAAACTGCCTATAACGTTAATGAACTAAACAAGTCATTTTTCAATCACTTACTTAACGTCATGTAGAAAGGCAGTGCCAGAGTGGTTGTGCCCTTCAGTCGGAGAGCTCGTATGTTTGCCCAACCGCCCGGATAGTTTTTGGATAGTTTCTTGCAGGCAGCCAATATATTTTTCAGGATATGCTTCTTGTCCATGGACGTGTTCCCGATTTGCATCATATGAGTATCGCCGTGAGAATGAAGCAGCATACTGGTCTTCCTCAATGCGTAGTCGATCTCGTGCTTCAAGTCCTTGCTCTCAATCTTGATCGAGGTCGGTAGCTTCCTTTTCTTGGTGAAGTGTTTCCCTAACAAGTGAGACATGTGGCCAGCGATGCGACCGTCGACGAGAAAGTGATCGTAGCTGGCAAGGAGTTTCTTCTTCAATTCGAATTGATCGAACTCGGTCTTGATGCGATTCATAGGTATTATTTCGTTCACGCAAGTGCATCCATGCTTTTGCAGCAGATCTCTGTAGTACTCCACCGTTGGCTCGTAATCCTTTTTTCTTCCTCTCTGCAAGTCGCAAACAAGCAAAGCTACTTCGTCGTCTGGAGCCACTATTGAGTACGGCAACAATCTGTAAACAAACCAAAAAGAAGTTTAAATAAAAACTCGCCGGGAACGCAACAGCGCTTCACTACGCGCGAGTCGTCATCATTGTGGAGTTTCTAATCAGAAAATCTCATAAGGATCCATTGGTAATTACAAGACATAATCATGTGACATTTTAATTGCGAGAAAGTGAACGTTTATCGAGATCCGCAGGTCTACTCACATCCTCATCTGTCTGCGAGGCATCTGTGGGACTTTGACGCTGGTCACTTGTACGAATATCGGCTGAGCCTCCTCGGCGAGAAGATTGTTCGTCTCCTTCAACTGTTCTTGAGTCAGGTGAAAAATCGCAGAAATGCACTGTAGAATTTGCTTCTTCGACAGCTCCTTGAGGTTGAACTCCTCGGGCGAGTCCTCGGTTGTCGCAGTCTCGGAACTCGCTCGTTTCCGCTTCCGCGTCGCTTGCGTGGACTCCGCGCTCTTTCGCCTCGTTTTCTGTGCACCGTCCATATTTTAATGAACGTCTACATCTACTCTACGCACCGGCGATACTCTCTCCGCTTTCCTCTGCGTTTGACCGCGACCACGTGGCGATTCGAGACGCAGCGGTCAGCGCGTCGATGCCGTCGTGTTTCCACCGTTATTTAATAGCGACGGTGATCGGACGAGAATCCGCGTGTCCGACGCGACAAATTGAGAGGAAAATGGTCTCGAAATAGGATTAAAGACTTAAAATACCTCATCACCGGCGGGACGCATGGCTCGGCTACGCAGGAAGGCGACAAAACGGAAGAGGCCTCTCGCAACGAATGCCGAAGGAGGGGGCCAAAGTTGCCAGATTACGCGGAATATCCCTAGCACTCGACCCCACTCGGTTCCACGCGAACGCGAAAACGAACGAACCCGCTGGCTCGTTTTCAACGCGGAAGCCCACAACACCGAGGGCGCACACGAACGAACCAATTGCCGCGCATGCGTCGAAATTTTATTCGAAATCGCGTTTTTGTTTCAATATCGGAAGAAATTATAACCTCGGAGTCCCGATGAATGCCGACGAAAGTGATAAGGACCTGACCTGGTATGCAATTTTTTCAATTTCGTCCGGTACCTTGTCGTATTTTGGCGAAAATTTATGCAACTTTCTGAATTTTCTATCCCGTATCAAATCAGTTGTGTCGCCTGTACTGTAATCTATTCGAGTAGGCCGTCCAACGGTCTTGAAGGATAGAAATGTCAGCAGTAGGCCGGCATCGAGGTAAATAATATACAACTGTGTCGGATAATGAGTCTCTTCCAATTGAAGGTTCGAGAAGGGTCAGGTACTCAAAATGGTCTCGTTGAAATGGCTAATAATCTACGGTTCGCTGGCGCCGTTTTTTATCATGCTCACTACGCTCTACGTTCTCGGAGTGGCGAGGTATGTCACCGACTTGGAGGAGAACACGTGCGAGATGACGTACATGTTCGAGTATCCGCAGTACGTGGTACGTGGACACGCGATTCGTGCCTAACTGCTACCACCTCACCTCCCTTGGCCCCGGTTTTTCGGAGACAGCCTGCCATGTGGGAATAGGGATTGCACTTTGATCCACGCTTGAACCCTTATTTACCTGTGCTACATTACGCCAAGTTTTGGGGACCAATTCTGTGTCTCGCACTATAGCGCTGCAAGTGAGTAGCTTTGTCTCTGTCTAACTGTTCCCTTAGAAAGGGACAAAGCCGCTCACTTTTGGCACTTTCGCTATATTGTAAGATACAAAATTGATCCTCCGAACATTTCAACTTTAGATGTTTGTTTCTCCTCGTCTTTTCACCGACGCCTAAAGTTTGTCGCCTAGATGTATGAAATATTTTTGCACATTTTAAATTTATGTGTTATATTTTAGAGAATATCTTTGAAAGATGATATAGAAGAGAAATACCCGCGATTTGGATTGTACGCCTATGGAGAAGGTTTTCAAACGGAAAAGTTGAGAAGAATGCACTTTTCCGGTATACCAGTTCTTTTTATACCAGGCAATGCTGGATCTCACGAGCAAGGTTTACGTCGCTTTATTAATGAGCCAATTTGACGATAAATTTTTATCATTGGAAGACCGATATTTAAATCTGTGTTTGCATTAAAAAAATTTTTAGTACGATCCATTGCTTCGGTGAGTTTGAGTAAGAGCCGAAAGACTTCCTTCCACTTTGACTTTTTTACTGTTTCATTCAGTAAGGATTATTCTGCGTTCTACGGAGGTACAAATATAAAGATAATTTTACGTAAAACATCTCTATTAGCGTATCGATATACTCGTGTGCATAATATTAATCGCCATTGTAATTTATTAATGCAAGGTATACTTATGGAACAAACTGTGTACGTCTCGCATTGTATAAAGGCAATACTAGCTCTGTACAAGGGCAGGATGGACAACGTTGTGTTGATTGGTCATTCTATGGTGAGAAACGCAGATTTGTGTTGTTGAGAATAGTCCAAGTTAACTGTTATCTCTTTCAGGGTGGTATTGTAGCGAAGGGTGCTCTGCTGCTAGCACCAAATATGAACGCTTCGTTTGCAAGTATGATAATAAACTTGGCTACTCCTCATACTCCCTCTTTAGTCCTCGATAGTGTCCTCGCCAATTATTATCACGAGCTGGAGATACGTATGCACCAGATTAAGGATGCGGGCGTAAAGACAGTGTCGATTGGAGGTGGGCCGCGCGACATACTTGTACCCGCCGTGCAAACTTTCGATCACACAGCGGATATCAATGTTCTTTCTACGAGTATACCGGTCGTTTGGAAATCCACAGATCATTTGAGTATCTTATGGTGTAAACAGCTAGTATTCGCGATTGTGCGTTCGCTGTTTGATTCCGTAGATTATTCGGCGAAGCCACTTAAAATTACATCGGACCCTAGTTTGAAGATGGAATCTCTGTCCTATCACTTCTTACGAGTAAGAAGAATTATTGTCGATGATACTAGATTATGTAAATACGATATAAAGAAATGCCTGATGATCCTAAATTAATAAATTTTTATGTATGAAACTGCAATTTCAGCATACCTCGGGCAAGAAACTGTATCGTTGTGCCGATAGAATTCAATTCGAAGCCGATGGCGAATGGGTGAATATACCTCAACAGTATGTCTGGAATAATAACGGAGTTAAAAAGTCCTCTACCATATATCTTGCGGTGGAACTATTTCATAAATCTGACTTCTTAACTATTGATGCAATCAATTTACAAAACAAGGATTGGTTGTTTGTGTGCTCAGCATTAAAGAAAGAAGGCCAAAAACCAATTTGGTAACATTAAATTACATTATTATCCCTACAGAAGAAAGTTGCTTACGTCTAAATTTTAATATGCGCTTTTACAGCGAATGGGGTTGGAATTTGACAAATAAAACAAGAATTTTACCTGACCCTTCATATCGACCGAGGAGGACTGTTGATCTAAATCTAAAAGAGATAAAGTATCCGCATATCACGCATGCCGTTGTGAGAATAACTCCAGCTGATTTGGAGAAATATCTTACAATCAGCTTCGATTCCTATTTTTACAACAATCGAATCGAATCTACAAGAAATAAATTTTTACATCCTAAATATCTCTTTGGCTTTCGTGGACCTAATTTGATTGAAACTGTCAAAGGAAGTGTGAGACATTACGTCACACTTTCCAACATTATAGACGCAATCACAATCGATTTGAAGTCGCCTAATTGCCCCAAGCACCACGCTATTGTTGAGTTACTAGAGGGGTCGAATGAAGGGTCGACTCAATCGAGAATCTTCACGAATGTGTAAGTATAGTTTGCAATAAAAACCAAACTTTGCGTAAGCTCTTTCTACGTTCGCAATTACGATGCAGAGACGACGGTCCAAAAACGATGAAAATACAGACGCTCTATGGACATTCCAATGACACAGCAAGTTTAAGAGTGACGCTAGAATCAGACTGCATTTATATGATTAATATTCAACCTGGAGGAATCGTAGATAAGGTTTCTTGTCGAATACGAGACCGTTGGCCATTACTTTACATGGCTGTTATCAGTTTACTCCTACTTTTCGTCTCTACGAGGATACATTACGATTCAGATATTGTACCAACAATAGTCACTACCATAATATTATCCTTCTTCTACAACGTTACTTACGAAACCTGCATCGCTCTGTGTATCATTGGCATATCTGCGATTGGTGTATGTTGCTCCGTCATATTTCTTGGTGCTGTTGCACATGGAATAGCCGTCAGGTACAGGTTTTGTTATTTATATTAAGATAAAAATGTTTTCTTTATCAAATGCATTTTACAAAATTGTGCAGTAACGATTTTTGGTGAAATATTTTTATAGGTTCTTGGCGCGTGCAATAGCGTTCTCAGTAACATGGTCAGACTGGTTATTGAGCGGTCTAAACCAGCTGCCGTTTATTACCACTGTCCTCGTGCTGTCTGTAATTCCAGCAACATGTGGAGCTCTTGGTATGCTAATCTCGGTATTCCTTTACTTTTTGAAGTTAACAAGGATGTACGAAGATTATTTAGAGGACATATTACTGGCCCCACTCCAACATTTCAATTGGTTCAAACGTTTCAAGAATATAAGGAGCGAAGAAGAAAATGACAAAAGTATCAGTCAAGAGATATACAATCATCTTATTCTGTTTCTGTTGTACGCTTTTGCTGCAATTCCAGCAATTCCATCAGTCCTAGTTTGGGCAAAGAATTTCAGGTATCGTCCATTAAGATTCTCGATTTAAGGCTTTCGTTTTCTCGCTACAATAATATTGTGATAGAAGCGATAAAAATTAGTTACCGAAAGTGAATGCTTATTACTTATTACAGCTACGATATGAGACTCTCTACTGAAGACTCTGTCCTAATGACAAGTTGGGTAATATTAGCTGCATGCAGCACATTAGGTATTGTACAGATTTCTCCTATTCGTAAGGGTTATCGCTCGCTTATATTAAGCAATACATTACGTTTCGTGAGTTGGGTCATTCTTTCCACGACAGCAGCTCCGCGTCCGTCCTTTTATCAATGGTGTATGCCACCTCTTACTGCCCTAGTAGTAACGTTTATCACATTAAATTCTATAATTCCTCATGGACGGTCTGATTAAATTATTAATTAAAGAGAAGAATTATTATACATAATTTACAGTTTACATTAATTGGCACAAATATATTTACAGTTTTGCCTATTGTTCATCATTAATTTTGTACAATAATCCGAATTTATGACCATAGCAACATATATTTAAAATTGCCACACGTTTCTAATATTATAACTCGAACAAATGATAAAACATCACAGCGTGACGTATGAGTATTATTTTATATAAAAGTAATCAAAATGTAATCATGCAAGATCATGTAAGATAAAACTTGCATTAAGACAGCTCGTTTAGCACATACCGTGTTAACAATAATTGTGAGATAGCCAAAGGATATTTATAACTATAATATAAAAACTTTATTATTAACTTATTGTGAGATATGTGATATAATATGTAAGTCTTCAAATTAATATACAATTTATTAGTTTCTCAAAATATCTGGTCCTTAATTTGCAATATTATTTAACATTTTAATATCATTATTTAATTATATTATCTATTATTAGCTTGTATATTTCTATTTTATTTCTATAGTAATGGTAGAAACAGAAACCTTAGTGGCATGTTTTCCGCATTATTGCTATTATTATAAAATGTCTAGTATTTCATTCTATATACACATCTTTTTTTTTTTAAGATAAAACGTTTATTCTACAGATGCATCTCCAATGTCTGTATTCTCCACACTGTATACACATATTTGCTTTTTTGTAAGGGGATGTACTCCATAATTTACAACCATGCCCATTTGGTGTCGAAGAAAATCTATTGTTTTTGTTGCTAAAGTTTTATTATTTGCATGTACTTCTGGATGTTGCATGAATTCGCTTAGCTGGAAAGATAATAGAAATTTATGGATTGGAAGTTATGTGATATTTCAGGATGCAGATGTGCTACACATTGATAGTATCGCAATACGTTTCAATAATATGTCAACCAAGTATGATACTTGCAGGTTTTGTTATAAGATCATGTACAAATTCGATATAAATATACTTCTGGATTTTTTTGGCAATGTGAGAAATGAATATCTCTACAACTTCTTCTACCTTCATCCATTTGCATTCAGAGATCTCCCGTTTGCAGCTCTCGATTTCAAAATTCTGAGGTGTTAGGTACGCAATCATGTATATATCCGAGCACCCGAAGGAATAATCGTGCCCGTGTCTAAAAGATATTAAACATTTGAAGTCTGCCTGAATTCCCGTCTCTTCCAGAACCTCTCTTTTGGCTGCCGTTTCAATGTTCTCTCCTGGACAATTATATGTAGATATCATGTACAATAGGAATCACTGGTGCCTTCCTACATGAATCTAGTGTACATATACAACGGTACTTCAACGTATGAGGCACAACGGGTGCTTTCCAGCAACGTACACAGGCGACACTGTGTTACAGTGAATCGCTATCTTTGTTGTTTGCCATTATTAAACGAGAATAAAATGATTCTCTATATTACACTCTGTGTCAATCTGTGTCTCTTGCTGGAAAGCAGCCAATCGCTTCAAGATACCTGGCTCTACGTAGCCTCCTGGAAGCTTCCAGCTTGCTTTAGTAGGGGCATATCTTTCTTTGATGACAAGAATTTCGCCGGTATCCTTGTTGAACACAAATGCGCCAACGCCTAAAAATGTATGCGCATATTTTGGGACATTACACTCCTCGTCGGTGGGCAACCAACGATATAACATGACGTATTCTTCTTTCGCATGATGGAAGATGAATCCATGCCCTGTTAATATCGGAACCCATTCGGTGTGCGGTATGTGCACGCGAAACCATATAGTGCGTCTCTTGTCCCTTGTCCATTGCTCTAAAGAATCTATAAAGGTATTTAGTGATTACATGTCTAGTATATAGCATAATATACTGCTGTATCAAATTCATTTGATTTTAAGACAAACATAGAACTTGATGAAGAAACAATTCTTGACTATACATGCTTTTATTTTATTATAAATGTGTGGCTTTGCAAAGCAAATAAAATTTAGCCAATTTATGCTCGTTTCTACCAACGCAGTTTAACTTTAATCTCGGTTCAACTTGTATCTTTTTCCAGTCGTACGAATTAGGCCTTCTTTGTCTCTTTTCAACTGTTACTTTAGAAAGAGACGTCCTTGAGACACAGAGAATAACGTCGAGAACAACAGTTATCGTGATCGAGAATCTTTTCTCGTACTTTCTCGAGTCCCGCGCTGTACACTTCAAGCTATTGAAAAATGTACATGAAATTCATTGCAGAATGTCGCTTGCAATTGAACGATCCCGAACGCAGACAAACGTGAATTGAACCAAGATTAAAATTAAGCGACGTTTGGTGAAACCGAGCCTTAGGCTTCACCAAATGTTGTTTCACTTTAATCTTGGTTCAATTCATGTTTGTCTCTTTCAAAAGTAACAGTTGGAAAGAGACAAAGAACGAATTGAGCTAAGCTTAAAGCTAAACAGCGTTGGTGAAGCCTTAGAAAACGATAAGAAATAATTTAAACAGAGTCTAATCTCCATTGGTCAAAACGGGTATCGGAGAGAAGAAAAATTACGTATATTGTATACGATGTAATTAATTATCCTGTACCACATGAGCAAAAGAGCGAGACGCGTCTCTACCTTTGAGACGCTGCGGGAATATCTTATTGTCGCAGATCTCTTCAGCCGAATCGATTGTGATGCCGTTATAGTGATCGTAGTGGCCCTTGAAGATTCGTTGGGCCATCGCGGCGTCTAGCGTGCCTGATCGACCGATACGTGCGCTACGCGAGAGAAAAACGATCGAGCTTCTCGAAGCGCGAAGCAGTCTCGCGCTCGGCATCGGGAGTCGGGACAGTCCGGGACCTCCGCGCGAAGAATATAGATTATCGTCGGGCGGCCATCGCGCGATCTCGCTCGGGAATTGATAACGCGAGTCGGATTTTATCCGGATGCAAGCGGCGTATCGGCAATTTTTCTCATCTCTGCGTCGCTGTTTACGCTGTCAGTCGGCGGCGACGTAACCTCGGCGCGACGAGCCTACGTTTGATCTCGGGTCCGCTCTTTTTGTTCCCTCGAGAGAGGGAGAGAGAATTGCCGCGATAAGCTCCATCAAGATCACGATGATTCAGCATGAACGCTGTATAATAAACGACGCTATTCCTGCGCATAAATATTAATGACATCATAAATCATATACGATGTCACCGCAATCTAACATAACTTCCAAGCGCGTCCAAGGAATTCAGGCCATCAACGCCATCAAGCGGGATTGCGCCATTAGGGGCGAGAGGAAGAACGTCATTGACTGCATCAATGCCATCTACATTCAAGTTTGGCAAACTGGTGAGAGAGTATATCCGGCTCGAGACACTAAAATAAGAGATAGGACACGAGGAATCAACGTCTGATTGGTCCGCCATGTTTTATGCTATTGCCGCTGATTTTCGAATACACGAATTGTATTAATAACGAATAAATTATATAAGGCTCTGAAATGAAAAAGTACAAGTACAGAAAAAGGGAGGCCCAATAAGAGCCAAACGCAAGTTGAAGTGCGCGTGTATTTAATTGCATGAAAAACATATAACTGACATTTTTTTCAATGTAATTAAATATTTGCGCACTTCAACTTAGGCTGTAGGGCATATCCTGGCACCATGATATTAATGTTAAATTGTAACACCAATTTTTAAGGAAATAATCGTTTCAAAGTTAATAAATATATTTTGTCATACTTTTTCCACCTATTTATAAAAAGTAGTTATAGTTATAGAAAATAATATAGTTATAAAAGTTGTATATATATATATATGTTAGAGATAAAAGATTCTTTTTTACAGTTCGTATTCCGAATGAACGAGAATTCGCATGTAATATATACAAAATATTTCAAAGACATACTCGACAAATATCCTAAAAACGAATATTGGACCAACATTGGACCAATATTTAGCCAATGTACAGTGCTACCAGAGTCATAATTTCATTCGTCTACATATACACGCGCACACACACACACATATATTTTGCGTTACGTATTACGCATCGGTTACAACGTTTCGCGAGCTGAAAAAGCTTGTTCCAGCAACTTGGTATATCTTCGGGCAGTGTTGCCTGGCCGCCAATTTGTAGACCGCCGCGTTGTCCGCTTCAGCGTCTCGATGATGGTTCGACAAATGGATCGTCATGGTATTTCTCCCTACCCCCGGCATTTCATCCGCCCTCGTCTCGTTCGGATGAAGCCCCCGCGAACCGGAGGACGTGGGATAGAATTTCTCCGGTGGGTAGATCGCGAACCGCCGACACTCCTTGTCCTGCGAGGCACATCCGTGGAGATGAGGGGGTCAATTCTGTATCTTGCACTATAGTGAAAATGCTAAAAGTGAGTAGCTTTGTCTCGCTCTCTCTTTCTCTAACCGTCCCTTTAGAAAGAAGCAAAACCGTTCACTTTTAGCATTTTCACTGTATCGCCAGATACAAGTTGCGGTCAAGCAAATACTTCGAAGTGTTTCTCTTCTCCTTATATCTTTTTTGAAAGAAAGCAGAAGAAGAAGACTTGGAAACATTTGAGGCGACAGCTTGACCGTAGCTACAGAATTTTGGGCTACCTTCATTTTGCTCGGACCTAAGTAATGATTTGGCGTTCTTGTTTCCAGTTGATTTCCTGATATAACTTTATTTGCTTAAACGTTTTTAATTAAATTTCAGAGAGAGAGAGAGAAACAGAGGTGCGTGTCACGAAACACGAAAAAACCCATACAGCACCAAAGCTTTCAGAAACATATCAGAAAACATTGTTGCAATGTTGCAACGTTTCTGAAATGTTTCTGAAAGCTTCGGTGCTGTATGGGAAGCGTGCTCCCAGATAGCACAAGACACTCCTATGAACATTTTAAGAATATTCTTCAAGAATTTTTGGAATATTCCATAGGTCGTTCTTATATATTTATCTTATGTTCGTTGAACATTCGACTGGCACTACTATACATCTTTTTCGAATGTGAATAGAATAATCTATTGAATATAGAGTGTCGCTTATATTATATGGTATGATCACAGATTTCACTGCCTTTTGCATAAGATAAGCGTATTACACAATAAACAATGTGCAATACATAAACTCGATGAATTTTCAGAAATTATTCTGAACGAATATTCCAAAGACATCCTCGACGAATATTCTAAAAACGTTCTTCTTTGTTATGAATATACGATTTCTATTTGTAATAATCTATACATATGTTTATAGAATATTCGATTCGAATATTCTGAAATTAAGAATATTTGCATTCCAGAAGAATATTCATAGAACTATATGTGTGCTATCTGGGCTTGCTAATGGAGCAGGGTGGATCGCAATATAATAGGTATACTCACGTTTCGCTGATAACAGAGGTTCCATACGGCTTCGGTTACAATTCTGGTGATATTGTATCGCGAATAGTTGTCTGCGTTTATATCTTTAACGATTTCCATACAGGCGTCGGCGAAACTCCTTCCGAAACTCGAGCTCGCGTCGACGCCAAACACGCCGATGTCCATATCTCGATTGTCTTGCACGCCCGCAAAGGTAGTTAGCTCTTCCAACGATCTAAATGCGATCGAATTCTTATTTATTCGCCTAAATTTTAGTATCTGCCTGTCGTTACATGTTGCACCAAGTTCAACAGACGGCAATAATGACACTTATCTACTTGCAATATTTTACAGGCAAAAATATCTTGGAGTTTGAGTATATCGTTACTTGACATGTGCGAAAAGCTTGTTGGAAAATTATCAATTTCGTCAATTGCCTGATTGTTAAATTAGACTTTGAAGCGTTGAAAATAAGAGATAATCGTCCAACTCACGTCAGCACCACACTGTTCAAATTCAGTGACACACCACCAAATTTCCACAGTGTTAACATCCGGACGTAATCGCGAAAGTCTTTGTGCAGCCATTCGTGATTCTCCCATAATTTACGAATGTTTGCCCAGAACCAGTCCTCTATCGGCGTGTCGATAACATACGACGACAAACGCACTCGTCTTATGTACACATTGTTGTAAGTCTCTAAGATATCAACCAATCTCTCAGATTTTTCGGAAAATTGCCCCGTCGCAAGGAATAGCAGGAAGACGTTCAAATTGCGATTATTTCTAGCCGCTGATTCCACGGCACACGCTTGCCGAGGCGTGAGATTCGGTGATGAACACGTTGTCTTGTGGAAAAATATGCATCTGCTTGGAATTAGCATTGGCTGGTCTAGAAATTGGAGGAAAGCAGGTAATATAAAAGAAATTTCAGCGATTCACAGAGCTCTTAAAGCGAAGCATTTAAACAGAAATTAATTAAAAGCGTACGGTTACCGAGAATCCACCATAGAGATTTGAGAGCAAAAGAAAAAAAAACTGTAATATTCACAAAACAAATTTGTCACTGTATTCACTATATTAATAAATTAAAAGATACGTAGGATGGTTTGTAGAACGGCATATTCTTTCTCGTGAATATTTTACAGTTAGCATATTAGATGGAAACTAGATTGATTGTATATTAAAATCAATATGTAGATTGTAAGGTCACCTGAGTCTGTAGTTTATAATTAAAAAATGTATCGTACGAAGATATAAATGTTTCTGCGTAAACATGTTTACGAAGAAAAATAGGAATTTTGAATTAAACAGGAGGAGAGCGCTTGTTGTAATAAGCAAAGCTATGATGATGAATAAAATTATTTCTCGGGAATTGGCCGCTAATTTATTCATATAGAAATTTTAACATGTTATTTGAAAGTAATATATTTGAAAAGTGTGCCAATTACTGCAGCAGAAACATTATTGACCATTTATGTATAATCGTACACTTTATCAGACGTAAAATTGTTCACATTTCGAGGGTATCAGAGATATATTTGATATCTGATAATCAAGTCTTACAACTAGCACAACTATAAGTAGCTCTCATATAAATATTCGATCTCTTCTGCCGTTACCGTGAATATACACGATAAAAGCATTACCGTGTTTCGCGATACAAATGATTAAATTGTGGAGTTTGTTCATACTTTAGTCTGCATTATTTAACGAGACTGCATGAGAAGAGTGGCGTTTTCCTCACATTTGTTGTCACGTTTTATTTCATCCATTAGCAATATTGATTGAGAAAACATTGGTTGCGATGATAATTAATTTTTGTTTTTCCATTTCTATAGTAATTCTTTAAATACTAAAAAGGAACTTGATCAATTACTTGATCTCTTTAAATGTCTAATTTAACATTTCTCAAAAGCTAACAATTTGGAATATACATTTTTAGTTTTCTACTTTATATGTCTCGTTTTTCTCTTCGATAGTTTTTGTAGCCTTCGTAGATTAATTATAAAATAATTTGTCTTTCTTTGCTTCAATTAAAAATGTAAAGTTCTTTTTTAATTTCATTCAAAGATCTCACAAGAGAAAATACACGATACTTTAATAGAATTAAATTTTCGCTCTATTCTTTGTAGTAAAATAACTAAGTAAACAAATATTTGAAATATTTCAAGGGAAAGTGTTCTATATAAAGATCTCTTGGCGTTCGTATCTCGAGATGTGACACTCGAGATGTAACAAAAACTAAAATCTTTAACTGACCCCATTCTCCTTGTCCGAGTTCCATGACACCACTAGATCCGCTCCAGTAGCAAGAAACGTGATTGGCCGAGCTGACGGTAATTAATATCATCGATAATTCCCTCCAAAAGACGCAGACAATAAACGTCAATCCGAGGAGGGAGCAGAATATAAAAACGGCCCGTTGTCTCCTCATAACTGCAGATAAGACTCTGTCCGATATTTCTATTTGATATTTTTGTCTGTTCACGTTGGAAATCCAATTTTCTGTAGAAGATTTTTGTATCGAAACGAGTAGCGTCTTATCAATTAATAGCTGATTATGATATTATGATTGTTACATAATCTTCTATGACGAGCGTGCGGCAAATACTATAGCTCTCAGCTGCTCGATTATTACTGATGTCCTCATAACATCCAGCAGATATGTCTAATGCTCTCGAGTGATGTGGAAATGGATCTAGGTATGGTTTTATGTCACGGATTGTTTACACTTTATTTAAATAAAAAAAATTATAAATTTTTATCGGTTTGCAAACGTTTAGCAATGTAATTAGATTAAATTAACGTTAATAATATATAATATTAACAGAAATAATTTTCTCTAATATAAATGAATTAAATGGATGAATAGATTTGATACTTACAACGATTAGTTACTCGTGCATGAGATTTTGAGACAGAGTTGCGCTTAACCGTGTTTCTGTTATGAGGAATCGATTATCCAAGTCACGTTGGTGATGAGTCACATAGAATAATTAATTTTTCAAGAGCGGAAGCGGCGATGCACATAGGCGACGACTGCAACGGATATCAGACGATGCACTTTTTCTGCAAAATTGAGAAAATACTATAAATTCGTAGATATAGAAAGAACATTGCACGAAGAACATTTAAAAGGAAATGTGAGTGTAAAATTTTGTATTCGACAGTAAAACTTCACAAAGAAAAATGCAGCTTTTGCACAGATGTTGGTCTCATTCGCGTATAACCGAGCGTTGACCTTGGTAACTGCTGCACGCAGCTGTAACTATAGTTTATTACGTGTTATATATAGTTCTTGCGAGGCAAGTCATTGGTATTAATAATCTTCGCAAAAGCGTATCATTCAAGTGGACAAGGCGTCCGCCAATTGGCGAATTAGCCGAACGCCAAGAGATCTTTATATAGAACACTTTCCCTTGAAATATTTCAAATATTTGTTTACTTAGTTATTTTACTAAAAGGTGACGAACATAATTTACTTCCCGCGCGTGCAATTACATTACAATTAGATACAGTTACTAGAGTTTATGCGCAAAAAAATCAAGAATACTAATAAAAAAAAGAAAATGTTATTATGGTATTAAACACAAAGAGCAAAAATTTGCATGCGCGTTCTATTAATAATTGTACTTTATTAATAATATAATGTTTGTATATATAATATTATCTATATCTGATAACTTTTCAGCTCTTAATCGCATTTAATATCTTTGAAATAAAATTAATTATAATCTGCCTATTTTAAGTAAATGAATGGTTTCTTTTATATATACACATATACATATACATATACATATATACATATATATACATATTTATATTCATTCATAAAATACATTTTCAACTATTTTTGATGGCTTATGTTACAAGTTCTTGTATGTAGAAATAGTGTCAAGTATTGCATTTCAAACATTATAAAATATTCTCCTATCATATGTGGCAAATACAAAATTTATAAAATTTTGTTCAATTTAGTGTTATTGCATTCGGAAACATCATTATATAATTTATAGAATTCTATTATACTCTGTAAAAACATATACACGAATATTTCAAGAGTGCATTTTTTAAAATAATGCGTGTTGGTAGAAATGTCGATACATTCGTGTGATTTACTATTGACATTTGTTGATTTATTTATTTATTTTACTATTTTTAATTAATATTGCTATTTTACTATTTATTAATTTTACGAGATTTAATAACTTTACAATGCATGTAAAATAGTATAAAGGTCTACATTACATTTTTCAATCTTAGGCTTCTTTTGACTACTAAGTACTTGAATTTGTTTGACGTATTATACACGCATAATCTATAGGTATCTATAACCAATAGATTTAAGTTTATATTTGAGTTTACACGTTACTATTTTAATATCTCTACATTTCCATCGAGAACATTATTGCTGAATAGGAACTTATGACTATACAAAATTATTAAATAAAAACAAAACATATTCCTTTTATTGCTACCGAAATCAAATTATATATAATAAACACAAAAGATATTAGAGAAAGATGGATATGTATTCATTTACCACGTATATTACAAATTTATGTTCGCATTTGTGCAGCTAAAAATATCTACCTATAGATTATTCGATAAATTGCGTACGTAAATTCAGCCAGTATATTCTTTACGTCATTATTTCCGGTCATAAACTAAAATCGCACAGCCATATGTATCTGATAATATGTTATCGTTCGCAATTTGCAAAAAGATAAATTTCAGTAAAGTTACGATAGTCTGGTATTTAAACTGCCTGTTTATGTACAGCAAATTGTTGTTAATGCAGTAATATTTATAATATCTACAATACAATACAATCAAAAAGCCCAATAACCCAGCTCGCTTTTTTAAGAACTTGAAGAAACTAATCTTACATTAGTCTTAAAAAATGTAATTTTAATTAAGAGTCTCAAATTCTTAAAAAATGGGGTTAACTAGCGTCGCATGCTGAACTCTTTGATAATAATAATATTAGAAACAATTGGTTGTCTTTAATAGTTTGTACCGACAGATTCATTTTGTGTATGTATGTGTATGTGTATGTAACTGCCATTCCGTATGCACCAAATCTTTTGTTTTTTACAGTAGATGCGGACAACAATGGTGTATAAATGTTATGTATGTATTGCTAAATGTATTGCTAAATAGCCTCTGTTTGCTTTGCTGTAAATACTCTGTAAATAATTTCACTTTGAAGACTTTACTGTACCGACAATTAATATACTGTTATACCGAGTAGACTAGATCTGTAATATATTTTATATAGAACAGATATCATTCTCGAGTATGTATAAAATTTATGTAAATTATGTAAATGTACATTCGTTATATATTAAAATTTATTCAGCAAGGATAAACCATCCTGGCCATTTTTAAGATTTATCGAGTGTAAAGAATGTCATTTTAGGAAATTTTGTACGATGGAAACAAAATTGTTCTGCTCTTACGTCAAATGGGAAAAATACGATTTCATGAGCCTCTTCAAGTGTAAAAATAGACTTCTTTGTCTCCATAAGAGGAGAAAATGACCTATTCTTCGTACTAAGCAATCAACGTCTGACTTACGACGAGATTGCCTTATATTTAACTTAAACGTACGAAATTATACGTTAGCAGCTGCATTAAATCGTACAGGGCAGCGATTTATTCTTAATACTTAATCGCTTAACCGCGGTAATTCGTAGTAACGTTTAAAATGGCGTTCGTCTCCATCAAACATTATAAATATATCCTTTATGTATACGCTTAGAGAAAAAGCAGTGAATGGAGTACTTTTCTAAATCAGCCTTTGTCTCATTAAATGCATTTTATCTGACACGACGGGTGTGTCATCGTTCTTCCGATTCAGATAAACTGATCGTTCTACGGATGCCGCGCTTGGAATGTTTCCAATCGCGTTGGTCAAACGAGCGTTCCACTGTTTGTGGTACGATTTGCAACTGCGCGCGGACTCAAAATATCTTGCCGCAATTGTTGAAAATATAGGGACAATAATTCCGTGCGATAACAGCGTACGGCACGTTACTGTTTACTCGCACTTTTTCGGCCTTGCTCAACTTGTTCCACACGTGAATCGCCTTCGCCTTGTTCAGTGTCTTCAAAGTCGCGTTGCTGTCTTTCATCTCGAAATACTTCTTCCACTTTTTATAATGAACCGGATAGAAAACCGATGGCGGGTATACTGTGAAGCCGTGGCAACGGTCGGTTGTCATATCGCGTGCCTACAAAACACAAAAATATTTTGTTAGCTTACTGAAATATCCTTATTCTTACAATTTCCAAGTTTCTTTATATGTGAACAGAGTGCATAGCTATAAGTAAAATTGTTAAAAATAGTTTCATTAACATAGGAAGATTGCTTATGGTCACCAGTAATGAATAAATTCTAACAGGGACTTATGGTCAACCCAACTGGCTAGTAGCTTTATTTAAGTAGATACTACAACGTTTCGACCCTAGTTTGGATCCTTTTCAAGTAATACTGCAATCAACAACAATCATAATTATAATAAATAAGTCAAGTATAAATTAAATTAAAAACGGTAGACTAGTGTAAGTCATGGTAATAAAGTCTAATACGTAGAGTATGTATAAATAAAATTGTAAAGTAATTAAATTAGTAATAAAAATAAAATAAAATAAACCAGGTATAATATTGTTAAGTAAACGAAATAAGTTACGGTACGGTGAGAGTTTCATTAAATTAATATTAATAAAAAATTTAATGCTAATTACCGTATAAATATAGACGTATAACATTAATGTTATAGATATAATAGGTATAGATAGCGAGCTCACGGGAGTGCCGGATTAAAGCATGCAAATAAAAAATTGCACACTTAAAGCATAAAACAAGAATATAGCACTATAAATTATTATTTATAGCACTACTGTTCGTTATCTGTTAAATGTCTGTGTTTGTAATTTGTTATTTGCGTTAGATATAGTATCGCAGATAGAGAATTTCTCTGGTATTTAGGATGCATCTTATACGCGCGTACAATGTAAAAGACTGTAGAAAGACCAATCACGCCGTTCGTTTATAACACTTTCAATAATAATGCATATCCTCTGTCAATTCTTCCATAAGAGTTGGTGAGAACTGACAAACGAAAACAAATTAATTTTTTATGCATTTGATTCGTCGTGGATTAAATCCGCGTGGTTGATTCTGTATTAAGAGAATAATGGACCATATCCGCAGGACGAATCCAACAAATTCAATTAAACGAAGTGAGTCTCTTATTCACGTCACAGATAGACTTTGCTCTTTACTTTGTACATACACGTTAATAGGCCCTGCCTTGTTTAAGCAAAAATTAAGTACACCTAATAATTCTTAATGCCGTGGACTGACGTATTCAAATTTGTTCTACCAGCTTATCATCGCTGTATCACATTTGTTCAAAAGATGATTAAATTCAGTCTCCTCGTTCTTAAATAATTATTCGTTTAACAATGTACCGTTTCAATCATTTATAGTTGTCATAATAAAGGCACGTATGTCCAAACTATTAATATTTATCAAAATAGATATTTTCAGTTTCTTTCCTAAAAGAGTTAGAAATGTTCAAAGTCTTTCAACTCGTTAACTGCCTTCGTTGCGTTAACCGCTTGCGTTGCAAATCCGAGGTGTCGGAGTGCTCTTCCTCCTTTTCCATCTCATTCTCCTCTCTCGCTCACTCGAATGCAAAAGAGCACTCCGACGCCTCGGATTTGCAATGCCGAACGCAGCTAATCTCAAGTTTCTCGAGATAATGGACTTGTTGGAGAGTGCGAAACCGTTCGTTTTCCATAGTTCTATAAAGTTTACAATATTATCTATAATTCTATATGTGGTTGTAAATAATGGCCGACATTAATGTACTTTGTGTTCTAAATCTTTCAGATATGAATTCCCGTTGTTGCGGTTCCTCGATATCCAATACTTACATACATCGTCGCGCAGAGTTTCTGCAGTGTCCTCGTGATAACCCCAGGTCCGTTGTTGCCCCAGACGTCGCCGCGAAAATTCTTTTTCAGATCGCGCACGCAAGCGTCGGCCACGCGTCGACCCAGCTTCGACATATCAAAACCCATGACGCCGGCGGCGACGTCGTCCCAGTCCTCGGCGCCGGCAAAATTTGTCAGACTCTCCAGCGAGCTGGTGACTACTACGTCCAGATCAAGATAAATACCGCCGTACTTCCACAAAGTCAGGTAGCGCAGCATGTCGGACATGTGACTGACCGGCCAATGGCTTTTCTTCAAGACTCCGCTGGTGTACCATGCGTCCAAGGGCGTGTTGTTGACGTACGTCTGCGGATTGATGTGACGGATCCGGATGTTAGGATAATTGTGGAGATGCCTGACGATCTCGCGCGTGCCGTTGGAGAAGTCCGACCTGCTCACGAATAGCAGGTACACGGCCATCGACGGGTTCATCCGCGCCGCCGATTCTACGGCACAGGCTTGCCGAGGGCTTAACACGAGGCCCTCCTCGCCGAAACAAGAAGTTTCGTGGAAGAAGATGTTCCTACCCGGCGTTGGCTTGTCGACGCCTGAAGCACAAGTTTTACCGCAGATGTATTCAAATATCAATTAAGACGTTGCGTTCATTTACGATTCTCTCAGTATTCATCGTGATACTCGCAACCTTGTCAAGTTATCGGAATGTACACAAATTAACCGCCAAAAACCAGAATGTTGAGATTAATTACAAAAGCCAATTTCTCAGTACAGATAAAAATTTATCAAATTGTGATCTTGAAAAGGTTCGTAATTAAAAACATTATTATAAAAGATATCTCGAAACAAGATTTACATAGATCTACATTCAGTTCTTCTCGTCTCTCCGATTAGCGTTGTTGCGTTGAATCAGCGCTATTGCAGAAAACAGTTTGAGGCATTGAAACACAGAAAAGAAATAATCCATACAGCACCGAAGCTTTCAGAAACATTGCAACAATGTTTTCTGAAATGTTTCTGAAAGCTTTGGTGCTGTATGGGAAGGAATTTATATAAAGGGAAACAAGTTTGATATTTTTAATTGTGCTGTTGTCACACGTAAAATCAAATAGATGGAATCAATTTCTCATAAATAAAGCCTATCACACAATGGGCGTTTTCCAGCAAGGACACAATGTGACACAGTGTAACACTGTGTCCTTGCTGGAAAACGCCCAATGCCAGGCAACAGGCAACAGACAACAGGAACAGGGAATAGAATTTCTCACGCATTGGATTGGTTGCAAGAAAATTTCTGACGAATCCAACGCGTCAAAAATTCTATTCCCTATTCCTATTGCCTGTTGCCTAGCATCGTGTGATAGGCTTGACCCAGCAAACACAAAGCATTGCAACAACGTTGCGACAATGTTCTATGTTTGCTGGGAATAAAACATCTAAGTCTGATACCAAGATATTTTCGCAACTATAATATTTGTCTAAAAGTCATGTATTTACGAAGATGAGCAATTTTCTTACTTGTTTCCAAGTCAAAGTCACGGATGCCTTTTGTAGTCGACACTTGGTCGTAGCATCTGATATCGTTGACGGTCATCATGTCGAGGAACGGTATCCTTTGGATGATGTTGCTCTCGGTCGAGATCATAAGGATGAGGAGCACGACGGCGAAAGCGAAACCGCACCACAACAATCTCTTTTTCATCTTTGTGGACCTTCTCATTGAATTACACTGTATCCAGAGTGAAGATTAGTCAGGACGGGCTTGTTACGGCGAAACGTTACAAATGCGTTTGTCATCTATGAATATCTTTCATTCTTATCATCCCTTATCGAGACAGGTGTGTTTTATTGTACATAAAAAGTTGTACTTGAAACCCTTTTGCAAAAGTCACCCGCGTAAAGAATATGTTAAGGCTGGTCTACAATACATGGAGTAGGCTGGAGTAAGGAAATAAATCCATTTTATTTCTTACTCCTACTTGAGCTCTTAAGGCCTGTGTCCACGATGCTA